AGGCTTCAAGTTGATCAGTATAACCAACTCAGTTAAGCAATCCTTCCTAATCAAAAATTCGTCTCAGAATTTCGTCCACATCTAAGGAGAACTGTCGCCGACTGCACATCGCATTGCTGAAAATCAGTAAGATTCAGTATTCCGGATGGTTTCCACGGATGCCGCTTGGAGATGTTTTCGTTTTTGGCCTTTTTTCCATGCAAAATAGCTATTCTGTCAACCTCGGTAGGAAACAATGTGTGGAGAATAACTGCCGCGCCGATGGTCAGTACATACACTAAGGGGCTTGAGTTTGTTTACTCCCCCTAGGGTGACAAGAATGGCTGTTAATGTGCGACGCCACTTCAAAGCCGCGCCATAGCAGTCTGCCCCCAACTCACGGACGGGTTGACCTAGAGCCATGTCATATCATAAGGTCACACACGCTTGTATCTCCAAACGCACACCAGCCCGCACAAAGGCCTTGGCCTAGTCCAACAAAACATCAGACAGCGCACACTTGCCCCGTCTGTTCTGCATGTCACCGCAACGTTCCCCAAATTAAATGCTGTCTAAGGCAGTGAATCAGCTTTTTTGCGTAGTTGAAATACTGACCACGTTAAAACATTTATGATGATGGAGCTTATGGTTTTGGACAAAGGTAGAGAACGCCGTCAGTATATGCATGTTACGATTTCTACTTACTGCGCTACATGCCAACCAGGCACGAATAATATATTTTACTGAATCAGAAGGAAGGCTGATGCGATAAGCAGACTTCAACCTGTCCATACTAGTTATTATTAATACATTTGTGATGACTGTTCAACCATAGTGGACAGCGGCGTACACCGCCCGGTAGCAGTGACTGATATTTCCATCAGTGCCCACTGACATGTGGCATGCATGGGTAGGTACGGGAAACATGTTCGGTTTTACATGAGGGAGGCTTGGAACTGACGTGCGTGATTGCGATATGAGGGTCAAATTAAGAAGAGGCCGTCAAACCGGATAGTTGGTAGTCCAGTCATCGAATGCACACTTGGGTGGTGCTAACAACGGGGATCAAAGAAATTTTATGGTGACTGTCACTCGATACGCTGTGGTGGCATCCAGCGAGACCTTGTCAATCGCCTTAAATCTTATGCTGGTTGACAGTACACGTGTCTCACAAGTCATCGCATTCAAAAGATCTCTGGTGTATAAACTTTTTTTCTGAATGATAAAATAATTTAGGGACACTGTTAAAAGGTTTTTCTCAAAATGGAATAGAATCACTTTTCGCGGTGAGGACAAAACCACCGCACATATCGTCTACATTTTGAATTCTATGGCGGCCTGAGGTATGTACATGTTGGAAGGTGGTTCGCGCTGGCCATTTTGCTTGTTGTTTTACCCACATTTTCTATTTTAAAGGGGTAAACTATTGAGAATTGGACTGTTAGTGTATCTTAACACTCCAGAAATTCGTGCAGATTAATACCGAACCCGAGTCAGTACTGAACTTCGTCCATGTGTGCTTATGCTGCTCTTCCTGTCATAGAACCCCTGCTGAGTGGATTAGATGGCAGTTTACTCTGGTACCCTTCAAAGTCATTAGCACAGTAGGTGGGCCAACTCATGAAATGCCAACTAAAATTCCGGAATGCGTTTTCGTTTCGAAAATATTAACTAAGTAGGGTTGCAAAACTGATCAGTTTTTAGCACGGTTCCTTAGTAATTCATTTAACACAGGATGCTGGCTTTCGAAAGAATTTTTAAGGCTGGATCCAAGAACTATATTCTGCAGAAAAAACGCCTACTTATGACTTCATGCATTTTTCTCATTGACTTTCGATGACCTTAAAAATTCAGTTTTATTACATGGAAAACGTGCATAAAATATTCTTTTTCTTATTTATTCGGTAGAAAATTACGTTCTCTTCCAATTTTTACTCGCGGGGAAGGGTATAATTCGGTTTCAAAGAAGTTGCTGACTGTGAGATTTTTAACACCGTGAAATGGCCGTTCATAAAACGTCATGTCTCTGCAGTAAGCAATGTGGCTTGTAAGATTAACAATATGCTTCAAATCTACCGATAAACTTTATGAATCCCACATGGTCTCCTCATCGTACCGTAGGGAAATGTATGGTTTCCGCACACGGAAAATATATGGCTTGTAGTTTGGGAACATTGAGCGCAAGTGTAACGGTAGGTCGGGTTCAAAATTACTCGGGAATTGGAAAAGTTTTTGAAAAACGAATTACACTCTCCCTTCGAGTATAAAATTGGAAGAAGACGTGATTTTCTACCGAACGATCGAAAGGATGAATATTTTTGCATGTTTTCGATGAAATGTAATTGAATTTTTAAGGGCACCGAAAATCAGTTAGAAACATGCATAAGTAGTCATTTTCACAGAGTATAGTTTGTGCATGCAGCCGGAAGGAAGTTCGTTCGAAAACCGATATGCTAAGGTAACTGAAATATTAGAGAATTTTGCTGCACGATGATTGGTTTTACAACCCTACTTTTTTCAGTTCAGTTATGTTTTACTAAGGGAAATATGGGTGAACGCTTTTAAACTCTTTATTTGTTATAAGTCTTTGGAAAAACATGGACGAGTGGGAAATTGAAAAAAAATTGTACATAATTGCAGACAACTGCCGGCTAAAAAAGAATAATCATTAACGGTTACCCACTAACTGTAAGTAGTATAATTTGGTGTCGTGTTACGTGAATGGATATGATGCTGGAAGTTGGAAGCTTAATACGCGTCGAGTTTACACTTGAAGGAATTCACACAGGAGGCGATTGCAACAACCGTAGGCAGGCCATTTCACGCTGCAAGCGCTTAATTAGTCTCTTCGAAATGAAAAAGCATTTCGGAATCACGGTCGACATTTCATGTGTTAGCCCACCTTCTGTATATCAGCAAAAGGTTTGGTTCGCAAAATCTACCGAGCGATTCACTGTGTGGACTTCACAACCTTCTGATGGCATGCAGGTTTATGCTTTCCGTTTGCCGGCTGTGATTACATCATTCTGTGTATCTCAGCTCTTTATAGCCACTTTATAGAATCCCAGGTTCTAACGTTTGCTTGTTCAAGGACGATTCTTATTTGCCATGTTCAGGATAAAACTTCCTTTTTCTTTTGAGGGTCTTGTCCACCTGTGTTCCCACTCCGGGTCCGTCCAAAAACCTTGCGTCCCTCGGCGGAGCATTCGAGAATATACCACATACTTCTATGGCTGCCTATTGCAGACGCACATTATCCTGCCGGCAATTCTGATATGAACGCTAGGCATGCGTTCTTGATCCTCCATATATTGCGTCGGCCATTGTGGAATATGTAATTTGTGCGCAATGTCTTCTTGCGTATGCACACCTTGCCGTAAACACATGTCAGTTGTTTCAGTAACGAGGAATTAAAGAAAAAGCAAAGATTGTGTCAAAATTTAAAAACCACAATGGTTCAGATGGAAAAGACAAAATAATAATGAAATATATCCAAATTACGAACACTAAATAGACCCTAGTTTCCAGCATACTTCATAAATAAATTAGCCGTGCCCATGAGGAACAAATGATAGCAAGTACCCAAAAATTCCCTTTTTGTCGGTTTTACACAAAATCACGGAAGCGTTGCGGAAATATCACTATCAGATAATCGAGGGAGGTTCTATATGCAATTAATTTTAGACATTTTGCTGTGCGTAAGTATTATTTAAGCGTCTCAGAGAATGAGTCGTTTTAATCAAAAGGCGATTGCATTCGGATGGCTTTAACGCGAGGAAACGATCACCATCACGTGTGTTAGTGTGGAATTGCTGGTTTAGTCTATGACGGTCAGTAGAAATCGATGATTCTGAAAGATTTTTGTTCCTAAAATATAAAACAACTTATCTGTTTAATGGATGCAACTGGAAAGTAACGGATTTTGACAAGGCACCGTCTTGATTGCATTATCTTACTTGGGCCCAAGCCGTTTTTTGAATCTACGTCGCGAAAAAATCTTAAATAAATAACGAGATTGAAGGCAATTGGCAGAAAATAGTAGTGGGCAAGAGTAGGTTCGGCACAATTTCTCACAAAATGCCTCACGTTCAAAATATAATTGTTTGGCCACTTTTATTCCAAACCCTTAAGCTAATTGGAAATTTCATCTAAGGTTTATTTATAAAACAGCATCAGCATTCTTTTTGCGTAATGTGGGAATCGACGAAAATTGTTCGGCAGGATAACTACAAGCCATAGTCCAGGTGTTTTACGGTAAATACAAGGATGGTTACTGAACCCATAACTAACATTAATTCTGCACCTACCTCAGCTCTGGCATTAACCCTAACAACAAAACTTCGTTAAAATTCAGAGCTATAGCCGCCTGCATAACGAGAGGTTCCCATTTCATGTTCTGCCTGGTGAAACGCATTAGCGATGCTTCCTACAAAATATTGTATTAAGGAATTTCAGTTCTACGACCGCCCTTGCTCGATTATTCTTCATCAGGCCTATGCATTAATATAGGTAGTAGAAGGGTAATATGAGGGCTTCAGTGAAGGCCTTATAGGAGTACAAGGCTGGATTCTTTAGTTGTATGGCCACTGCCTCCTCTGACACAAGTATCCGTTGACATGGGGACTTGGAGCGTCCTGCCGACACTTTATTTATGACACGGAATGCTGGTTTTACGTCCCCCTTGGTGGCCAGTATCGAAAGAGCGAGTCACAAAATGGGTTTTTCCTCGCAAAGATCCAAGTGAATGACAGACGAAGGCCAATGTTCAGGGTGAGGGACAGACTACCGAAAGTGGGAATGAGGGAACATTTGACAGCTTGGAGGTGAAGACCAGGGCTAGGAAAACGACGATCAGCTGCAGTTGGGGGAACAACGCTGATCTAGGCTCCAGTGTCCACCAGGAAACGTCTGCGAGTCGCAGTGTCGCAAAAATAGGAGGAGCGACCAGAGTTAGAGCTGTCGAGAAGATTGGCTGCACTGACCTTCGGGTTGACCGGTTTTACCCGTTTCCTCTGATTGGAGGTGAAGGAGCAGGGAGAGATGCAGCGACGGGCTTTAACACCAAAGGCGGTGTGATACCAGCAGATGGGAGCTGCGTTTGGACAGGCTGAATGTGAAGACTGGAGATGTGGGGTAGACGGCTTCGGTTGGCTCCGAAATGAGGGGTAGACTGTCTGTTTCTGGAGTGAAGCTATATCATCGGCCAGCCTGCTGAGCTCGATCTCTAACTGTGAAAGGGGAGACGTAGGATGAGTTGACGGAGTTGAGATTGCTGAAAGTGACGGCTTGGAAAAACCGTGCATCTCCATAAGACGATCAGCCATCTGAGTAAGTTGCGTTGCCGAAAGAATGCCGGAGGCGGGTGCCAAAATATGCTGCGCTTCCGGTGGAAAGTTGTCCATGATCAACGCCTGGCTTTACCGTAGATTAGGAAGAAAGACTGTTGTCCGCAAAGGGGTCGCTAATTGTCGAATGTTGTGTGGTCGACACGACAAAGATTCCCAATCAAAAGTCAGGGAAGACGGCTTGAGTTGGACAACCTTTACTGCCTGAGGAAGTGCGTACACAAGGGCTCTGTAGGCAGTCGCCGCGAGCGCGCTCCAAGCAAGCTGTTGTCTGTGTCCGCCTTCGGGGTGTTGTCCGCGCGTGTGTGCGCCCTTCGTTGTCTCCACGTCGCCAGCCAATCAGAGTGGGGACAGTGTTGATTGGCTTCGAGCACACGCGCGTCCATCAGCGTATCGAAAAGAAGTGTGAGGCGGACAGGACGGCAGCGTGACAAAGGCGGGGGGCGAGGAGACGCTGACTGCCACAGACCCTATAAAACACTAAGCGACGTTTTCTACTACTTAGGGATGTTTTGGCGAATTCAAACAACTCATCCGACCCAACAGGAGAAGACACATCGGCCTCGATGGGATCCGAACCCACGACAGCCAGGACAAGGTCCGAGTACAGCCAATGCCATAACTGACTAAGCTACCAGGTGCCGATCAAGAGCCACGTGTTTAATCGTATTTGGGTAAAGTTACTCATGCAACCTACTCGTGCAGCCGAGTTGTACTCAACCGAATCTGACGAACTTTATAACATGCTCTCAAGTAAAAAATATGGCTTAGGTAAATTTTCAAAAAATAATTTACAGAGGACGTAATCTCAAGCCAAGTTCTCAGTGGTAACTCATGTGGCTACAGTTAGTGTCTCCTCGATTGAATTCCTAAGCTACCCTTGGAGAGAGACAACCTCAATTATATTTATGCTTCTAAACGATCTTATTGTAAAGAAAGCGTATGGGAATAATTTTTAAGTCATTTTACATAAAATTTTATTTTCTCCAAATTTAACACTGTAAGGAAGACAGTGTTTTGTTTTTTTTATTTTACTGACGTATAAATTTTTGAGAAAAAGTTAACATTTTTACCTGGTTTTATAGTTCCAAATCTGCATTCCGTGTAGTGCCTCTAAAGTAAATTCATTTAATTGTAAATATTCTTTTAGGGAAAATTTGTGTTGTTCATTGAATGGAAAAATAAACATTCGTTACACTGTACATTCATAGATATTGGCTCCATGCAGTGGTGTCGGTTTTCATGATTTGGGTCACATACTGTACTTAAGTAGTTTAAATAGGTACGGAAGGACAGAAGCATAATCATGAGATGATCTCGGAAACTCTCGTGATCATAAACGTTCTAAAGACCGAAATGCTCCTACCTTAGGTGCAGAATCTGGAGAACGTATTTCCCTTACAGTAAGCATTAGCTATACTCTCGCATATTTACTCCATGAAATTTGATTAAATTTATGCGGGCTCTGACAGTAGATTTCAAAGTGTTTAAACAGCGGTATTTTCCCTACGTACAACTTTGCCCCACTGACCTGAATGATGCTAAGGTATTTGGTCATGGTACTTGGTGACTAGCTTTAAAACCACATCAAGGTAATTCTTTCCCTGAACGCGCATTGAAAGTTGTTGGCCTTTGACCTATTATTATGAACGTGTTCTATATTCGAAAACGTAGGCTTTTATTTGTTTTGTACGTTCTTACTTGTTTTGTTTAAGTAGACCGGTTAATTTGTTAATTCATATGTGAACACAATGCAGATGATCGGCAGATTTGGCCTGAATTGCAGTCAATAGAACCAACAAACATATGGTATTGTGCGAGCCTTACACCCAAAAGTGCTTTTTCGAATACTGGCCGATAAAGTGGCCAGTGTTTGGGCGTATATTTGAGTAAACTCACTAATGAAAGACTGTTCTCAGATCAGAAGAATATGCGATCACTGGAAGAAGAAGTTTATTGACTTGGCGTTTCGGATTCCCATTCGAACCCATCCTCAGAGACAGTGTCACCATGTATGTTCACCCTGCCATTCCCAGTACGCACAACCTGTTAATTTGTTGCGATTGGCCATAGTACTTCCCAGGATGTGCTCATGATCACTGACCTGATACTTTTGGGTTCCGAGTGTTTCGTATTACAATAAGACAGTCGATTTCTAAAAGGATTGTAAGGCATTCATAGTCGACCAGAGATCCATAGTAGCTAGAATGACTGTGTTAGATGAATAATAGCGGTAAATCTCAACAGAACTCAGTCTGTACTAGGTTCACAGATGAGGTAACGTTCCCATTGTAGCCGAACATTCATTATTTTATGGTGTTTGGATGAACTAATGGGCGCTACCACTTTAAATGCGCCAATGAGACCCCATTCTAACCGACAAAACCTGACTGAATTATTGGTTAAAAGTGGTGGCGTTACTTTTCCTGTAGTATAATAATAGACAGCTTGTATCAAAGCTCGTAATACATAAAAAGACAATAGATATGTTTTTACTCTTCCAAAAGACACGCCAGTTATCTGCTGCAGTAACTCCGATAGATCCGGCTCATACGTTGTTGATCCTACATTACGCAAATGTGAGGTAGGTTGGCTTCCACCGACTGTGTAATTTCACCTCTATCTCACCGGTCTGATTTCCTCAATTCATCTCTGAAATCCTAGGACCTCCCTGAAAAGCCACAACAATCACAGACTCAATACTATCTTTAATTACGCTTCCAAGCATAAGAAGATGTACGAACCTTACGGTGAGAGGCATTCTGATAAAACACTGATGAAACGGCGCCCTTATGGAACTCGGAAAGTTTCTCATGGCTTTTCAAGCTGGTGGCATCAGACCGTCATCAGATGAAGTGGCCGGCATGTGTGCAATTCACCCGCAAACGAGGGGGGGTGAGGGTTCGAGGAGGATATGCTGAACTTCGTCTGGCTACGAATGCGTGGGCGAGGAGGAGGAGGAGGAGGAGGAGGAGGAGGAGGAGGAGGAGGAGGTGGAGGGGGGAGGGGGTCATAGCGCCTGACCTTCCCCATGGGGTTGAATAACAGCTAGTGCGTCCATGTGAAAAGCAGACAATGTCATCGTCATGATCCAACGCCATAGAGATGGAGACGAACGATATGCTGCGCTCCTACTCCTACGTATTGCTCATCGAGGTTGACGTGTGGACTAATACTGATGGAATTGGAACACAAAGTTCTAAAAACATTTCGTGACAGTTCTGATGGGAGTCAGGTTTTTGCTCTGATAAATTCAGTGGCATCCCAGTCAAACTGAGTGCTGTTCTCCGGCAAATACACGAACGAGAGCGATAGAGGTTGTGTTGCCGGACAGTGTCAGATCGAGCGTCGTGAACGCCTACGTCCACCGTGTGCGAGATGGACGCGGGACGGCAAGTTGGACGTTAATTAGTTCGTACTGGTGGTAGGAATACTCAGCACCTCCCGCACTCTCTCCTCCCTCACCCTTTTACCTTCCTTCCTCACCCACTCTCCTCCATCCTCCACCCACTAGTGTTAAGACAAGGTCAGTACGACCCGGTGGTGGGGTCAGACACAGTGGCTGATAAAGCTCAACAGCGTCACAAACGACCGGGTCCGCTCACGATGGACAAGGTTTTCACAGGAAAACAAGAAGTTGCCAGCCCAAATATCAACCGAGTGGGAGCATTGTAGAAGCAACATTAAGAAGGATCCGGTGCAGCCTGTATCTCCGTCATGAGAGGACCGAGTTAACCTGCTATTTGATCGCATTCCAAGCTTCCATTTTTTACGCACCATGATAGTTTACAGGCGTGCTAGATTATTTATGGTGGGGAGTATGCGCTGAGGGCCGTAAGCTAGAGGTTCCCGGAGTCGGCCTCTATCTCTTTCTTCCCTACCCCTAACACCAGTTGGCTGTCCGAGCCCGTTAGTCATCTGACGCTGGGATTGGACGCAGTGACCGACACAGAGTTGCACCAGACCAAGACGTGGTATGGGGCAGTTATGAAACAAACTTCCATTCCCGATTTAGACACTTGGTATTTCTGCGTGACTCTCAGTCTGTTTTCGAAGACTGCATCTATCAAGACCGCTGCAGTAATTATGGTGCCGATGGCGGCAACGGTAGGGTTAATGACCCCGCTGGGAGAGTCTTTACGGATGGACAGCACGCCAGACAGTAAGCTGGCGGGATGTAGGAAAAGACAGAAGACGGTCGGCGGCAAAAACGACACTGACGAATATATGCAGATATGATATCCGGCTGGATATTTCATGGCGTTCCACCTTGGAAGAGTGTCTGACCACTGAAAAACTCGCCTATCCTTGGCAGACATTTCTGTTATACCTAAATTCACGCCCAAGTGATCTCCGTGTTTTGTTTCTCTGCTTTTGAGTACAACTGCGAGTCACCAGTACTTAACTAGATTTCGCAAGTAAGCGCATCACCACAAGATCCGCACTCTGCGAAGACTAAATAGGGTCCTTTACCCTACCGTTGCCCGCTGGTCTCAGTCTTCCTCCCTCTCCCCTTCTTCGCTAAGTTCTTCGCTTTTCACAAACGGGCCATTTGGATCGATAATTGGGTCAGCGTGTGACGGTTGTGTGTGTTGGCGCTGCTAATCTGCCTATCAGTCGCGCACACGTTAATCGGCATCCAGCACGCCTCTGCAGGGGGTCGCCATCGGGAAACTTGGTGGAAGTCAGACCATTTGAATATCTCCGTGACTAGTGTGTTTGACGCAGAAGCACGAGACGTGGCAGTCGTCAATCTAGTCCTCTGTGCCAGGGCGAATGGTTAAACCCGCAAGAGTATCAACAAGTGCACGCGCGAACGAGATGAGGAACCGGGTCGAATCAGCCTTAGCATTTGACGGCCGTTCCAGTCACCTTCTTAACCCATTTCTAGTTGGACTTATACACAAATCAGTGACAGGTATAGAGACACAGAAATCTTGCTCTCTGGATGGAAATGATTGGAGTAGGTTACTGGACCTGGTGCAATTTCGGACAGAGCAACGACATTGGAAATCAGGGAAATTACTTCGGACACGAATAGCCGAACAGGCAACAGC